TGAATGTGTTTCCATTCAGTAGGTAGTCCAAGGGTTTATAAAATCACTATTGTGGAGCTTTAGACTAGTTGGTACACTTCAGAGGAAAAAAATAGGTTTTCCTCATACAACGCTGAATAAAAGATAGCTCCAATAATTGGGAAACATGCTGTGTATGGTCTTAATGAGTTTTGCATTTAAAAGTAATCATGTCGTACGAAGAAACAGTGTTGAGTGTCCAGCGGTCTTTCAGTTCTTCGAGAGTAGATGATTGAAAGTTTGAATTGCGGAACTTTGGTGTATTCATTTGGCATAGGTTGGTTTACAAATGCTTCAATAACAAAAGAACAGTTTTGGTTGTTTGGGAAATAAAAATGGACGTAACCGTGCTCATACCCTTTGATGGAATTCCTGACATCAACTGAACATGTGGCTTATACATTCAATGCGTAGTATTGATCAATGGCACAAGCGGTAGCCAGTACACACTCGAATCACATAACAATGACACCTCGGTGCCAGCCTATTACTGATATTCATCTGAAGCTAGTACTTCAGGCATTTTTTTCCATACTCTCAATGGACACTGACTGTATGAGCATAGGTATTACTGGAAGCCCAGATTCTCAGTCCTATTGTTATTTGTAGGAGCACTTTGATCTGTAAATTCTTCTGAATTTCAGTTACTTTGACTGATACGTGATCTATCAATCGGTAGCAAAAAGTTGATTTCTTCTCTAAGGCATCATTTGGTCCAAATGGAAAACTGTTTCAATATGTTCTGTTATTTGAATGCGATGAAAATGTTTGTGATAACTAAAAAAGAGCACTGGACAGCTGTTTCGTCCTGTTTGGGACTCGTCAGCAGCGCGTACTTTTTGTTTCCTTGGTGCCTGTGAAAAACCGAATGCGCTAATCCAAACATTCACTGTCTAACTATTCTGTTACTGTTTCGATTCTTACACTATCTCGCTCACTATCGTTGCTGCCATTCTTCATCAGAAAGTCTATCGATATCTATGGCGGTGAAGTTCATTCCCTTACTTAACCAACTATCGGCCTTGTTCAGGTGTTCAAGTGGAACGTTTCTGTTTTCGTTGCTTTCAATGTAACAATTGTAATAAAATAAACGCGTTTAGATGAGTTGGAAATTACTGCAGTTGCAATCCACAGAGCATAAAAAAGGCAGATGTAATGTCGAAAACAGTGGCGCTCGTGCATCTACTCAATATTCTTGCATTGTGAATTCTCTATCGTCCCTTTTGCTCTGTTCTCAATATTCGTTTCTTCATTCTGCTCTTTTATCGAAATGGGCAGCCAAGAGACAGCAACCAAAAACGGTGCACGAAATTGCATGGTTAATGGTTGTACAGACTGAACTGAACGGAATGAACAACCAAGTGTCGGAGACCTACTGTGAAGAGTTATTAAAACCCAACCTTGA